CAGGGATGGTCTTCTCAATAATGACAATTTTTTCGATAACTCAGCCATTTCTTGACGGATCCTGCTCATCTTCGAACTCGACCGAGACATTGTTAAGACTGAACTGTGTGGAAAATTTCATTGCGATTGGACTCTCTTTTCAAAAGTTATCGTGTAAACGGCCGACCGGACGGACATACTGACCGATTCTAGAGTGTACTCACTTTTTGAGTACACAAAAATGGTGACTTACAACTGATGTCCGTGTAGTCAGCGTATACTAATCGGAAAATCTTCCGAGATAGTTTTTTTCTAAATGTAGAAGATGTAAAGACTAGAAAAACGTTAAGATGATATTACAGCAAGTTGCGATTTGATTGAGATATCGAATTTTTAGAATAATTTGCCTGAAACTTTGTCCATATGAAGGTCTCTATCAGGCTAGCTTGCCTAAAAAGTTTCAGAATTTTTAGACAAATCATCTTTGAGATATGAATTTTTCAAAATATCCACGCTAAACACAATATGCCTACAAAAGCCTCAATTTTGGTAGACAAGCTAGTCTAGTAAACGGCTTTATATGGGCAAAGTTTCAGGCCAATATTCGAAACTTTGATTTTACTGTGATAATGGAATCCTACAGGAGAATTATAGTAAAAATTCGATAGTTCAGCCAATACCATCTTAAGGTTTTTCTAATATCTCTTGACTGTGGACAAGATTTGAGTTCAAAATCTATTTAACACCTCGAGAGAATTCTTCGAAAGTTAATGATGTCAGTGGTCTATGAACTGAAATCTCATATTCTGAATTCTGATTGTAGCTTTTGTTTTTTTTGTTTTTGAAAATAAAACTATTGTAAAGTTTAACTTTTCGATCATAAAACTAAATTGATTTACCTGTTTCTCCAATAATATAATTTAATTTTGCTTCTGTTAATTCTACCCATATATTTGATCGACTCCAATTTAATGAAAGTAAATCAAGTATATGAGCTCGTTCACGACGTAATTGTAAAATTTCTTGTTCAATATCATTAGTTGAGAGTTTTAAATTTGAATTCATTATTGTTGGATTTTCATAAATAATATTCGTATTTAATGGTCTTTGTCGTATAATTGGACGTGTTGTTACTTCAGATATATCTTCACTATCGGATGATGAACTTTTCATATCAACTTGTAAACCTAAATTTAATTTCATACGATGATTATCATCAACAAGTATACCAGAATCAGAACTACGCTCAAGTATTGTTGGATGTATTAACATTGTTCTATAATGAATATTATCAGATGTTTGTATTCCATCTTGTGTTTGTAAAAAATTTGGTATATCATATGATGATACTTGTGTATAATTTGTTTTAGTGTCTAAACTACATTGTAAACCTTGATCATGTTTTATTAATGGTGGACTATATTGACATGATTGATCAACTGTTTGACGAATTGTTATTGGTGATGTACATGTTGTTTGATAATGTTTTTCTAAAGGTAATAGTATAGGTGATAAAGATATATCACGTGTAGATTTTTGTTGTTTGTTTAAATCAAGATTATTATGTTCAATATGTTGAAATGATGAATTATTTATTGGAGTTGTATTTATCGATGGTGGAATATGTTTTATTGGTTTAAATCGACTACACCATGGTGTACTACTACCATTAATAATAGTATGATCATGCCATGAATTGAGTACTTCAATTTTATCATTTTTTAAAGCATGTGATGTATGAATAAGATATTCTTCATATTGATTTGAAACAGGAAGTAATGATGAATCAGATATAGATTGAATATTTGATTTTTCAGATTGTGTTTTTGATAGAGTATTTGTATAAACAGAACCTTGTGTTATAACTATTGATTCACAAATAGAACTAAGCATTGTTGATGGACCATCTATATCAATAGAGATCATATCCGACTAGAAGAAAAAAAAAAATAATTAATTAAGATTATTCGAATTTATGAACAAAAAAATATTCACATTTGATGGTATATTATATATCATTTTAGATTATAAGATATTTCTTTTTTCATCTTTAAAACTACATTGATTTATGTGTTTAATAATGTCATTTAAGATTTCAGACTGAAATATTTTTGTATAATCGTAAAAAATGAATTTAAAAATAATTTCAATAAAATAGAAATAATATTCTTTCAAAATTTAAGAAAATTAATTAAAGATTCTAAATATGACTTTATTTTGATAACTCTAAAATTAGAATGAATAGTTTTCGAAATGCAAATTTCTATGAACAGATGAAAGTATCAAAGTTTTTTGCTTATTACGATTTTGTTTACATTTACAAAGCTTCTCTACAAAGAACAAGACATTGATGATACGTTTAGTGGCGGAGTCAGGGGGGCTGAGGCCCCCCCCCCCCCCCCCCCCGCAGTAGCACACACCACACCGACTTCA